ACCCATCTGATATATCAACATTCCTCATAAAACTGCTATTATTTTGATATTGATTTAAATATGATTAGTGAATTATTTCTAAAATAAGAGGTTTGACTATAATATCTAAATTGTATTTTTAGTGCATATTATGTTCATCTATATTAATCTAAATTTAGTTTCAAGTGATCTTGTGGAGAATAACTTAATTTCCAAGTTATATTCATCATAGATTGATGCCAGTCGGGATAATATTAAAACCCACGAAGTACTAAACTAATGTTTCGTTCTAGCATAGGACTCTTCAGCAGTGAGCAAATAAGTAAATAAATAAATTTATTGAATGTATTCAATAATGAAAGATTTATTTATTTGAACACATAAATATTGGCACAAAGGGACACCAGATATATATGCGCCGCACAAATCTCTTTTGTTTTGTGTAAGGGCTGTGATACTGTGCAGGTGCCCAAACTGAAGCAAGCGGTTTTCTTAGGGAGCCACACCCCGAGCCTTTGACCTAAAGATCTGATCCACAAGGCAGTGGAGCATCGTGATGAGATGCAGTCCCATGGTATGCGGTGACCAACGATTGGATAGTACGCCATTCGTTCCTTCAGGATACTGAAGCCGATGTGCACCATTGGTTTGGAATCAGGGTTTTCCAACTCCACTAGGTGGACTCACCGTGTCCACCAACTCGGTCAAAGCGCAGGACATTCTCTGTTCGTCCTCTTGATTTCGTAAACAACAGTAATGCCACGAGAAGGCAGTGAGTAGGACTTCTGTGGTAGAGACTATATACGCGTGGCCATGTGAGAGCATTTCAAGAGGGAGAGCGGACTGTCCTCACTCTCGGCCGTATCAGGGCATTTGGGGGCCAAATACTATATTTTTGTAAACAAATCAACACTGATTATTTTTATTATTATTCCCAATTTATTTGTAGAAACAGTAGTCAATTAAACAGCATTGGAAGATATCTATCCAATCAGCTAACTACATACAATAATACTCCTAATCATAATTCCAATTCATCTGTAAAACTTTCTCATCATCATACACCAATTATTAGATCCATAGTTTACTCCTCTTCTCCTTCTTCTACCATTTATACAAATGAACCATTAATACATCGAAATCCTCATTCAGACCAACGTTATTCATCATATTGTCAAGGTAAGCCTTTAACATTCTTTCTATTTATGTATATAGTTTATGGATTTATTTGATTTAATATTAAATCTCTACATTGTTACTTCTAATTTCTCACATATGAAGAGTTTGTTGTCTTAGTATGCTTTACTTAATCACCTGTATCTCCTATGTATACATAAACGATAATTTACTTCCTTCCTATTCATATTCTCTATTACCATTATTTCTCTATCAACAACAACAAAAAAAAAATAAATAAGAAATTCATTTAATCTATAAAAACTAATGAATATAAAAAAGAAAAAGAAAAGAAATTCTCATTATTACTTAATGTTAAATAAAAGTATAAGAAAAGTGAAGCAAAGAACAAAGTAACAATAATAATACAAACAACCGAACAAACAAATTACCACTTATAATATATTTCTATGATAAATTATGATAGTACTAAAATAAAAATAAAATATAGAAAATCATTATTTTTCAGCGGAAAAATGAAGAAAAAAAGCAGGTAAACGGCGGAATAAACATTTTCTTTTTCTCTTTCTGTGGTTATACAAATGAAATATTCGTTTGAAATGTTTACCTACAACAGAGATGGAATACAATATATATGAACATGAAAATTATACCACTATAATGATTTTTACCTCTGTTTTTTTTTTCTTCTTCAAAGAATGCATTTATATATGTCAGTTAAATAATTATTGAAACTTATGAAGTAGCGAAATTGAATTGATTTATTTTATTTCTTAATGTGCTATGTTGACTAGAATTGGCGATGGTTGGAAAAGAGTTAAAGATGGCCAAATCAAAACGTGGCATCAAAGATTGAAGTCATTAAATTTTAGTCTAAACCATGTTGATAGATGCAGACTACTTGGTTGGAGTCCTCGTGACTATCGTAACCAATGGTTGGAGACTCTAGATGACATGGCTCAGAATCGATCACAATAGCTCAAGTGTTATTTACTTACTTACGCTTGTAACCCCTCGTCGAGGAGCATAGGCCGCTCACCAGCATTCTCCATCCAACTCTGTCCTGGACCTTCCTTTCCAGTTATTTCCAGCTAACATTCATGTTTTTCATATCTGCTTTTATTTCCCGGTGTAGTGTGTTCTTTGACCTTACTCTTTTCCGCTTCCCTTCAGGATTCCAAGTTAGGGCTTGCCTCATGATGCACTTTGGTATCCTAGCCACTTCCAACGTCTTTTCCTAATTTCTTCTTCAACTGGAAGCTGATTTGTCCCCTCCCATAAAACGCTGTTGCTGATAGTATCCAGCCAATGGATGTTGAGTATTTTGCGTAGACAACTGTTTATAAATACTTGTATCTTCTTGGAGATGGATATGGTAGTTCTCCGCGTTTCAGCTCCGTACAGTAGGACTGACTGTTTTGACGTTCGTATTGAAGATTTTGTCTTTGAAATTAGTTGACAGTTGTTTTGAGTTCCATATATATATATATATACAACTTTTCTTTTATATATTACCACCACTAAATGAACTACTTCTATGAATTTGATATTCATCTTGTTGTGCGAATGATGTATGGCAACTTGGACCGATGCATATACGTGCCTTATCCTACGTTGTAACTGACTGACTTTAATGTATTCATATTCCGTTATGCACCTTGTCACTAGTATGAATGCACAAGGTTTTTGAATATTATGCTAGTTATAAACTACATGATGAGTATCTATCATGATCTAGAGTTCTGTTTAATCAACATCTTCATTAATGGACAATTTTTCACAGAATTGAAAACGAGCCCTGTTTTATTAGACAGATTAAGCAATGGGTAAATAATAGGTTGAGTAAGATTATGGTGAAGATTAACAAGTGAGTTCTAAGACAATACGAACGATATAATTAAACGTTTTGATTTATCAGATTTTCAATCTATTATTATGAAACATTTTACTTTCCTTTGGTAAAATCTGATTTTATTGTTCAATAATTACTTGATATAATAACTTTAAAGAAAGCTCATATCTGTAATAACTTACTGATGGTATTGTTAACTTAGACTTGTGGGGATACGAGTTATGCGTTTTTCCAAAGTTGTAGACCCTTTTTTAAACTGTTAACTGCCTCCAAGTAATGAAGACTATATATATATATATATGTTTTTGATGATCAAAGGTGTTTAATGAATCATCTAGTAATTCGTCCAGTTTTTCAATGGTGGTTTATTTTAGATTGACTCATGAATTCAACTATTCGAATTACTACAATCTCCACAAATCCTCATTCTGATAACAACGTTGTTCTCACTAGTGACTAGCTTCAAGATGGATTTCTTGGAGTTATAGTGAGAAACTGTGATCAAAAGAGTCTAATCCGTGTCAGATGTGAGACAGTTACCCACTGAAGACAATAGATGAAGGGTTGTGCTAGATCATGGATTGATTGATGTTGCACATTAACACCGTTAGGTGCCGACTCATTGGTTTGGAGGTTAGGCGTTCGTACGTGTGACCGACGGTCCTGACTTCGACTCTTTTTGGTGTGATGCCGTGGATGCGCGCTGCTGAGGAGTCCCATGATAGAACGAAACGATCGACCAGTGCTTCCAGGTTTTTCAATGAGGGTCTTCTTTAGATTGACTTTTGAATTTAACTATGAGAATCATATAAAATCAAATTCAATTATGTCTTAATAATAACAATAACTATTATTATAGCTGAAAACTAAATCAATTATAGAAAATGAGCTTTTAGTGGTTTACCATGTCATTTAAATTGTTATGTAAGTATATAAACAATCGTAGATGTGGTAAATTAGAAGTGCGGATCAAGGAACATCAAAAGAGAGTAAATAGTTATGTTGTAAACTGACGTATATATTTATGTACTTGACTTTGGGTTTTTATTTCGAAAAAAGAATAACAACGTAAATTTACTTAATTTTGTGTAAAATATGTTTCACTTAGTAGATATTTTCTTTGTGAACTGTATGAGATTTTTACAGTAATATTTATCACAAACTGAAGTTGAATGAAGAGCTGTTTGAAAACTCTTATGGGATCATAAGCAAAGATGGATAATGGCTAGCAGTGGAATCCAGGACGCGCGTTTCGTCCTATTCGGGACTCTTCAGTTGGATCATTCAAGAATACACACTCTTGACTTCAAATGGGACCGCATCTAGCAGTGAACATGATCCTCCTAGATAACTTACCCAGAAACTTAGTTCATGATGTGCATTGTTATTTATGAGTTACTATTTCACATTCAACTTGATTGATCATATAATTCACAACATTTTAACAGAACTTTGAAAAGTCTATCTGGTAGTTGAACACTAATGATACGCTTTGATGAATTCCAAATTAAATGGAGCCTTCTTTTATATTTTCCATAAATAATGTTTATCATAAACTTTCATTAGCTAATGAAAAATTAATAGCTTTACTTCTAAAATCAAATGTAGACACATCACTATGTATTGTTTGTTTGAATCTTCCCATTGATGCTTAGAACTACAACTGGTCAGTATCTAATTGGCATTTGTGCATACTGTGCGTATTGCTTCGATACAGCCTTAATTCACAAGCATGGTAAGCAAAGATGAATAGTGGCTAGCAGTAGAATACAAGACGCGCGTTTCGTCCTATTTGGGACTAGACAGCTGGATGTACCTGCATCTCATAATGCTTGTGAATTAAGGCAATACCGAAGCAATACGCACAGTATGCACATATGTCAATAAGAGACTGAACAGTTGCAGTCCTAAGCATCAATGAGAAGATTCAAACAAACAATACTAAGTGAATTTAAACTTCACCTCATTGCACAAGTAAGTGGCTATCAGGACTCAGTAGCTGAGTGGATAACGCGATTGCGTTTGAAGTGAAAGGTACTGGGTTCGAGTCCCAGAGAAAAAAATCAACTCTGATATGCAGGTACATCCAGTTAACGAGTCCCAAAGAGGATGAAACGCGCGTCCTGGATTAAACTGCTTGCCACAATTCATCTTTGTTTAAAATGTAAACACTATTGAAACGTTTCAAACTATAATTTTGAGACAATTATTCTGTGCCCATTCATTTTCAATGTCCTTTTAACTGATATACAAAACTCTCTTCATTTAATCATAACACCTAACAAATTGTCAACCTTATTATTATTCCCGATTTTCTCTTTTAATTAGTATCAATCGTTAATGCTTTAACTGTTATTATAGTCACTAATATCATTAGTTAGTTTTTTTTTTTTGATGTACAAAACAACTTTCAAAGGTTTTTTTTTTAGGACTTGACATTATAAGTGTCAAACTAGCTATAATTCTATATGTATGTAATCACACTATGTAGGTACACATATTTATACATGTCAATAAATGATAAGGTTTCAAAGTGAAAAAATCCTATCCACCTTCCCCCCCCCTTTAGTAATAAGTGTACAGTTATGGTTAATTCATGTCAAGAAGTAAAAAAAAAAGAGGAACATACATTTCATTTTATATTCTCATTTTATTTCTTTTTAATGTATGTATGTATGTTTTGGTTACTTATATTTGATAGTTATAGTTATCATTGAAAATATTAAAGTCATCATAACGTTGATTAGTTAGTTAATCAGTCATAGATAATATATAGAATATATCATGAATATGCGTATCAGTTTAATTTGTCATACTTTACAAATAATAGAACAATAAAGTGAAACGTATGTAGAAAACTAAATATAGAAAGTATGTTTCCAAAATCACGATCAAGATTGTTGAATATCGGTAAACAATAAAACTGATTTAAGATGGTGGTTGGAAGTGATCAACAGGAAACCCTGGACCCGGGTTTCCTGCTACTTAACACTCGTCAGCAAGATGTACATGTAATCTTGAGGGAACTAGTGCTCCCTGACGAATTCGATCCCGTGTCACTCAGCTTCACAGTCAGAGACGCTATTCGGGCCGCGACCGACCTCCTGTAGGACTGAGATGCAAGCACAATTGACACAAACGAAATTGAGTTCAAGATTTCTGATGAATATTAAACGGACTGAGATTTCATTATTGTGACTGATTTTGAGATATGTCATTTTATATCTAATGGTAAGTTATTGATAGATATATGTTTGTGATATGTTCTACATTGTCTTACATATTGATAGACTGATATCTTCATTATGATATAACCATAATGAGATTAGGTCGTTTGTAAACGACTTAAAATCAGGGAGATGTTAATGCTTAAGTAGCTATTTTTCTTTGAGGTATTGAATCCTACATCTAATTGATGTGAAAAATGTTAATTTGCTCATAAGGAAATAATCGATAATGCAATTTATTGGAAGATTCCAATCCAGGACGAAAGTTGTCACCAACTTTTGCTGATTTTCTATAAACTCTTGGGTAATTTCAGCACATAATCAGAATTATTATTACGTATATAGTCATCAAAATCTTTTACAGATTATACCAGTCAATCAATCCATCATCATCAACAAGAAGTCTCCGACTCCTAATATTAGTTGTCGCAAGACAGACTTAAATTTAAATTCAGTAATTAGTAGCTTAATGTATAAACATCATTCTATAGTATCTTTTATCCTACTTAAACTAAACGAAACTAACATCCTTTCTCCCAGCAAAGCTTGACACTATGAAAATTAATTAAGAAAAGTTGACGATTATGGACGTATTATATTTACATTTGACCATATGCTGGAACCAAATATTTTAATCATAAACAGCCGGTCACTTAGTAACTTTTTTACATTTTGCAATAAACTTTGTTGATATCAAACTAATTTATCTATGCTCATTGTGTATCATTCTTTAACTGTATAAATTATTTTAAAATTCGTTTAAAATGTAAAAGAGGATCCTATAGTATTCACCTAACAGTCATTCAACAAATAGCTAAACAGTTGATCGTAATTATTTTTCAATTCATACTTGTCAATAGATACCATGACTGAGTAATGGTAATTAGGGGACAATAGTTATATATATTTTTCGTTTATGTTTGAACCTCTCTTTCTCGTAGGACCGTTCAACGATATTACAGTTAATTTTCTTTACAAAGTAATTTAGACTTAATTATTGTCTTTGGTATGATACCAGACTAAATATATCATTGAGTAGCTGTATCTACATCGACATTCCCATCTCATCATTTATTCTTAACTAGTCTTTTTTTATCTTTTGTTCATTTAAAGCACCTTCAAATCATACTATGTCTACTTCTTTATCAAATTCAGAAATTTCCAAACCGTGTTTATCATCTCAACGACATTCAGTTATATCTCAATCTATTAAAAATAATACTGTATCTAATGACGTCAACAACGGTAATAATGATCGATTAGAATCTAAAATTAATTCAATATCAAAAAACTGTTGTATTGTTGTAAAAAAGGAATTTGAACAAACATGCGACAAAAATCATTCACAAGTCAATTGCGTAAGTTTTCTTTTAAAATAATGATAAATTAATGTTGTTTATCCCTTAAAAATCTCATTTTTTTTTGTTGAATTCACTTAGTATTGTTTGTTTGAATCTTTCCATTGATGTATTAGAACTGCAACTGGTCAGTCTCTAATTGGCATATGTGCATACTGTGCGTATTGCCTCGATATACCTTAATTCACAAGCATGGTTAGCAGAGATGGATAGTGGCTAGCAGTGGAATCCAGGAAGCGCGTTTTGTCCTATTTGGGATTCGTCAGCTGGATGAATCTGCATCTCAGAGTTGATGTTCACTCTGGGACTCGAACCCAGTACCCTCGCTTCAAACGCCATCGCGTTATCCACTCGGCCACTGAGTCCTGATAGCCACTTGCTTGTGCGATTAGACTGACCAGTTGCAGTCTTAATACATCGATTGGAAGATTCAAACAAACAATACTAAGTGAATTTAAACTTCACCCTATCGCACAAGCAAGTGGCTATCAGGACTCAGTAACTAGTGGTCGAATTCAGGATATCTATTTGGGCTTATCCAGAACTTATTAGTTGAATGTACCTGTATTTCCATTTTGATATTACTAATGAAACTTAAATACATTAATCAACGTTAAGATGGTGTTATCCATAGTGCTGATAAACTATGACAGTCTCCTACATCATGTGAGTGTTTTTATAGTACTGTTGTTGTTTACGACTAAATCGTTGAAGCCGTGATATTCGTAACAATAGCTATTGGATTCGAGTCTTGATATAATAATCAATCAGTATGTCTTGAACAAAACAAAATTTGTACTGTTGCTTCGACTGGCATGGAGATCCAGATTCCATTATGATGTATGACAGAGAGGATTAGGAAAATCGATAAACTTTTGTTGTGTTGGTGAAACATTCTTTTTTAATGTTCTAATGAATTAAAAATTTATTTAGACTAACAATTGATGAAATTATTTGATTTAATTATGTTGAAGCTAAACATTAACACTGTGGGGTGTTAATACAATCGTCTAGAGTTTAGGTCCCGGTTTTGAATCCCGCTTCTTGGTTCGTGTATAGCTACTGCTGAGGAATTCGATACTAGAACAAAACGATCGTTCAAAGCCTCCAGATTTTCAATGATAATCTAACATTGACCGATTCACGATCTCAATTATAAAGAATCATTGTTTGTTTTTCATATATCTATAAAATATTCAAATATAATTCCCATTAGAAATTTAGTTTACTTCATAATCAATTATGTCATTCTATCACTATTATATTATTGTCCAATAAAAATACTTGTCATTACTTTATAAATAATCTATACTTGTTACTACTTACTATATTGAATGGACTTTAATAGACTCAAAAACAAATGACTACTAACAAAATAACATGCAAAATTAATTCATATATGTTTCCATGTATAGTAGTATGTTACAGTAAGAAAGAGACAGTCAATCATTTATTGACCTTGAGGGACATATGATTTATGGAATTCAATAGGAATGCAGTGGATATATATATATATATATATATACATATGTGGATTATTTTAGACGATCTAAAGTCATGTTAATTATTATTTAATGTCAACACATAGAAACTGACATACAAAATTCATGTTTAATGAAATAACCATGGTGAGATTTATATAATGATGAAATTAGATTTTTCCTAAGTAAAAATATCAGTTATCAAATAATCGAATTGAATTGAAAAATTATCGTTTAGGTGATGACTACTAATCGTAATAGGTTTTGTTTATGAGGTTTTCTATAGATGTGGTCATCTTTTCCTTGTAGTGACTAATATTATCTTATTAAGAAGTTATAATTAATTAAGTTTGACCACAATTGATTGATCACTGGGTGATGATCAATGACATGCGTGTCGAGTTCATCTTAGTGCTGATCGAATGCTATCAATCAAGTTGCAATGTAACCACAAGTTTTGATCGATAGCATTCGATCATCACTAAAATGGACTCGACACGCATAACATTGATCACCAACCGGTGATCAATCAATTGTGGTTACATCTCAGTCCTACAGGAGGTCATGTGCTGCTCGAATAGCTTAGTGGTAACGTCTCTGACTGTGAAGCTGAGTGACGCGGGATCGAATTCGTCAGGGAGCACCAGTTCCCTCAAGATTACAGGTACATCTTGCAGACGAGTGCCAAGAAGCACGAAACCCGGGTCCAGGGTTTCCTGTTGACCACCTCCAACCACCATCTTAATATAGTTCGAATATGGTTAAATTAAGACGATAATTACCAATGAAAAAGTGTTAACAAAATAAAGCTAAAAATATGTGTATTCGAATTCTTAATCATTTTATTGAAGGTGATGTCGTCATAATGAAACTTGAAAATCGTTAGTTCGAACCTATGAGAAAATCGATAATGTTCACTGTTGACTATTTCAAGGTTTTAGATAGTTCTTCAGTGTACATCAGTTCATGATATGAAATATTTTTTAAGCTAACGATTTTGTTAATCATATTACGTAGACTCAAATGCATTTAACTGTTAAAGGGCTACTTTTAAAATTATTTTCTGATTAAATTGTATTATTTCTTTGAATCTTACCATTGATGTTAAGGATTGCAACTGGTCAGTCTCTAATTGGTCTATGTGTATACTGTGCATATTGCCTCGATATAACCCCATTTCATAAGCATTGTAAGCAAAGATGAATAGTGCCTAGCAATGGAATCGAAGACGCGCGCCACTTCGTCCTATTTGAGACTCGTCAGCTGGATGTACCTACATCTGGGTTGATGTTCATTGTGGGACTCGAATCCAGTAACTTTCGCTTCAAACGCCATCACGTTATTCACTCAGCCACTGGGTCCCGATAGCCACTTCAAAGAAACAATACTAAGTGAATTTAAACTTCATCTAATTGCACAAGCAAGAGTCTATCACGACTCAGTGGCCGAGTGGATAACGCGATTGCGTTTGAAGCGAAAGTTACTGTGTTCGAGTCACAGAGTGAACATCAACTCAGATGCAGGTACATCCATCTGACGAATCCCAAATAGAACGAAGTAACGCACGTCCTGGATTCCACTGCTAGCCACTATCCATCTTTGCTTATTTTCTGATTGTTCTTAAGCTATAATTGTTAGTAAATACTTCTTTCATGGTAAATAATGTTATTCACTAAATAACTGAAGACACTACAGAGAGTAGTGATATGAAATAGTTTTTTTTTAATAGAGAAATTGATTAGTTTGTTGTAACAGTCTGAAGACTATTACTATAACAACGAAACTGATAAAATAATTCTGGGGAATTTTTGTCTTCAGTAATAAAGAATGGAAATTAAATAGCTAGTACTGATCTTAATATTAATCAATGAATACAATAAAAAAAAAGAGATATAAATAACATGTAAATCAGTAACAAATTTTGATGATTCACTAATAAAGTAGATTCTCAGTACTTAAACCAAATTGGTAAGTTTAGAGAGTTTACTTAAGTGAATTGGAAGACCCTAAAATGCCGAATTAGTTCTGCAAAAAAAAACTTCAATATCTTAATTGGATGAATGACATACAAACCTACTTTAATTACCAACTGCAACAAGTTTGGATATTTTGACGAAACATTCATACTCTATAGATCAGACATTTAAGTCAAGTACGAAACCAAATAATAGTGAACTGATATTTTAATAATGCTAATGGTCTTTTTTATTTAAACTTTACTCTAGAAGTCTTTAAAAGTATACAACTATTAGAAAAATTATAATATAGCTGCACCGTAATTAATTTTCTCAAAAAATAAAAAGGTTTATGTTAATTTTATAAAGTTTGCGTTATACGATTATTAATAAATTCAATCTATATGGTTGAACAGTATTGTGATTTCTAAGATCACTTAAGATCTTAATTTCAGTTCATTATGAAGCCGTGAGTTATTACTATTGTGAAGTTTCGAACAGTTTAAATACTACTTAAATAGTCTTCTTTCTACCTCACTTTAACATCAATTATTCTAAAAAAGTGTACTATATACAAACTTGATCTTAAGTGATTGAAGATAGTTGACTGGAAATCACTATTCAGCTAGCAATAAAATATAATGTACGCAATGTTAAATCATTTAGAACAGTGCCTACATTCTAACTTGATCAATAATATTATAGTCAGAAGGGGTTTTGTGGAGATTTCAGTATTTTCAAAGTTGAAATCATGAGTAAATTGAAGCTAGACCACCAGGGAAAACCTGGAAGCATTGGACGGCCGTTTCTATCTATTATGGGACTCCTCAGCAGTGTACATTCACGATCCCGTACTCGCGAGATTCAAACCTAGGACCTACCAGTCTCGCATCAGAGCACTTAACCGATAGACCACTGAGCTGACCGGCATCCAACGGTGTTAATGTCTAACTTCAACCAATCCACGAAGTTTGAGCAACCGTTCACCAATTGTCATCAGTGAGTTGTTATTTCAAAACAGATGTGGTTGAACTCCACTGGTCACTGTTGCCCACTAGAACTCCAGGACATATATCTTAAATTCATTCACTAGTGAGCATATGATTATAATCAGAAGGGGTTTTGAGACTGTTAGGTCCTTGGTTCGAATCGTGGATGCGCAGTGCTGAGGAGTTCCATGATAGGACCAAACGGCCGTCCAGTGCTTGCAGGTTTTCCATGGTGGTCTAGTTTCAATTGACTCATGATTTCAACTAACAATAATATTATATTGGCTATACGAACTAAATAGACTTGACATTAGTTACTGATAAATAAGCATATAATTTTAGTCTAACCTTAAAGGTAACCCAATAAAATATAGTTTATGACACCACACTACTGTTTCTCTTGAATATGAAGTGTATATTACTTGTTTCGGAAGGTCGTTTGCTTTTACTCATGTTTTATTGATTCTATTGCTAAAATAAAGTTTTATTGAAAGACTTAAATATATGCATAAAGACATGCTTGAATAATTCTTTCACATACATATGTTATGTGTTCATTGCTGATTGATTAGTTA